CCATATGAAATGTGCCACTTATGTAAAAGAAGTCTGCAAGTTCAAAGCCTGTCCCCAGCCAGACTATAGAATACTATTTGTACAATTATTTGCATACTGACCTTTTTCTTTGCAATGATATCTCATCGATTTTGAAGTAAAAAAAAGAAAGAAAGATACAGAGATGGATGCTCAAACTGTGGTCTGTAAACTCTGTTCTGTGGTCTGCGAAAAGGTTGTACAGTCAAGAATATCTGCTCTTGGCTGTGCCTGTGTTTTATTTTTTTATGATAATGGAGATCAAGGCCTTTTGAACCAGGGCTGGATTATCAAATAGGCTAACAAGATTCTGGCCTAGGAGCTGTGATTTTCATAAGTAATTTCTGAAATAGTGGTCTAGATTAGGGTCCCATCTGCACCATATATTTAAAGCTGTATGATACCACTTTAAATAGTCATAGCTTCCACCCAAAAAAATCTTTATTAAGAGTGCTGATAGTTGTGACGAGACCCCTATTCCCCTCACGGAAGTAAACCCCATGTGGTTAGGAGTCAGTCTCTCTTCCCAGGGAGCTCTGAGAATTGTAGCTCTGTGACAGGAATAGGGGGTTCCTAACAACTCTCAGCAGTCTTAACAAACTGCAGTTCTTTGGGAAAAGCCATGAGTGTTAAAAGTGGTATGATGTCATCTTAAACATATAGTGCAGATGAGGAAACTCCTGCAGCTAAGCTGGTGTCTAATGCTCTGAGGCCGAGAGGAGGTCTTCTTATCTGGGTAGCCCAGGACCTCCATACACGCTGCCCAGGCTTGCGCCCCAGGAATGTCATTTGGCTGCTGCCAGTGCAGCAATTTGGCTTCACCCTCAGAGGCACACTCCATTGTCTCTCGAGACAGAGAGATTCCAATGACCGCCTTAAACACAGTGCAGGTGAGGCCTAGTTGTCAGAGCAGTAGGCAGGATAGTCGTCGACCATAAATAATTGATTGGTGGTTGAAAACAGAATGTTGAAAGAAATCCAAGAAGTTTATTTAATCATGTATGGACCACTTTATATAAAATATCCAAAAGTGGTTTATAAAAATAAGGAGCCAAATATTCTTAAATCAACAAAGAGCCAAGGGCCACAAAACAAAACAATTCAATACACATATACTGATAATATAAATAAACAGCAATTTTTTTAAAAAAAATTTAAATGTCCAACCTATATTACCCTTGTGTTACAGGAAGATGCACTGGTAGATGAAGCTGTATAATCATGCTCCAACAGAAATTAAGCCATAGCTCTCCAGTACATTAATACATTGCACATTGACTATAAGTTACTATATGTGTGCAAGAACTCCAAACTAAATCATTTATAGCAGGTGTGGGAAACCTTTGGCCTTCCTGATGTTCCTAAACTACAATTTCCATAATCTTTGGCCTTGCTTCCTGGGGCAGGTGGGGATAGTAGTTCAACATCTGGAGGACAAAAGGTTCCCCATACCTGGTTTGTGGCATGCCGTGTAAATTTTTGAGCATCTTTAAGGGAGGGGGGGAATAGCCTCATTCTGTAATAGTTAAAGGCACTGAATATCATACCTATCCCCTGGCACATGTGACCGAGTATTACTACTTCATTTATGTAAACCTAAAACCAGCAACCAAAAAGTAATTCACACATGGCAAACAGAAAATAAAACTCATAAGAAAGTTTGCACAAACAGCCAGGGGTTCAGTACTACAGTGGCAGGCACTGCTTTTGCAATAGCCAAGTAATGGTAATTTCTTGCTAATTATGTTATTGTTGTTGTTATTATTTGCAATTGCAAAAAAATGTTTTCATTATCCTTTGGATGTGGTTCAGAGTGTTCACCTTTGCAACTCAACGTTACAGCAGGGCTTGAGTGACAGAAACAAAGCACAAATGAGCAAGTACAAGCAAATGTCAAAATGCCCAATTTGGAAAGTCTTGTGCTTGGGAAATTTCCAAATCCTTAAAGGTGAAGAGAGGGATAGGGGTGGGGAACTTCACTTTCTAAAGAGATCATCTTTATTTCCAGTCATCTGTCTAGGCACAGGTGATCTGTAGGTGGGAATGTCTGTACCCCAAAGCCATGGGTTAATCATGCTGAGAACTGGAGGGTTACAAAATAGGAGCGTTTTTTTATGAACAGCTAGAACAACCCCGCCCAGGTAATAAAACAAACTCTTTAATCAAATATCACATACCTTTATTGCACTGAGCAAATAGACGTTGCTCATGATTACAAAGAACAGTTTTACAAAAACAAAGATTACTATGAATAGCAAGTACACCTTGTGATTGTGAAGCTTGTACCCCAGATACTTGAAATCTTGTGCTCAGGCACGTTCCACACTAAAACATTTGGTGTCTTTTTTCTGATTTCTACTCAGAAATGAAAACATACCCCCTGTCCTTTTATAATACCACTTAAAAGGAGGTTAATGAAATGGTTTTTTTAAGAACTGATTTGTTCTTAGCCTCAACTTCTGTGTATTCTAAAGGGAGAAGCTGTGCTTGAAATATTAGCATACTTTTCCTAATTGACATATGAGTGCATTCTGTAACCCAAGTACAAATCACTTTGTAACATGCAGCTATCAGAAAAGAGCCCATAAACAATAAAAGTATCAGTGTTTTGTTTTGTTTTTCCTTTTGCCATGACTGCATATGCAAAATTCAAATGCGTTGCTTTGAATTTTGGACTGGCTTGAAAACTGCTCTTGTTTGTTGAAGGTGAGAGAGTCAGTATGACAGTCTCCTGAAAAAAATGAATTGCTACCAGTTAAATCTCTGAAAACTATCACGTGCTTTTACAGAATTGGGCCCATTTATTTTAATTCGCTCTGCTTTCAGTACACATGATTTAAGTGATACCTATTAAAAGTATCCTTTGTGATATAAACTTCTAATACAATAATTAATATTTAATTCTGTTGTAAGTATAAGCAGCAATTTTTCCTCTGTGCAGTTTTGGCTTCCAAATTTCCCCAATACCCCAGGGCCTTGCAGGAGTTCATAAAAGAAAGGAGCACTCTTACCTCCTATATACATATAAACATAAGGCTGTCATCACACAGTTCTTTTCATTGAAGGATTTGTAGTGCCTCATCACAATCCTGGATTTGCATGAAGTCTGGGCTGGGGAAGTGAGCAAAAGGGAAGGCAGGGTGCACAACAACAGGGTCTTGGCATGGGAGTGAGAAAGGGGAGACACTGAGAGGGGGGAAGTGGTGTTTTAGAACAGCGGCACCAGGGATGGAGGCCGTTTTAAACAACAGCCGAGGTTTGAATAAAAGCAAGGATGTAGGGACACAGGATGCTTAGAAGTTGCAGTTTGCAGAAGGAGGAAGATGCAGGAGGTTACTGTGAGTTGGTTTGGGTGCAAGTGGGGCTGCAGAAAAGAGAAGCATAGCTTCAGAAATGGGCTTAGGAAGGTGAAAAGTGATCTTAATAGTCGCATGAGGTGGGAAGGGAAGTTCAAAGGGGTTAATGAGGGAATGGCTGAGTGGTTGGTGAGCAGAGGGAGCAGGGACACAGCTCCTAGTTAACAAATGCAGTAATAGGTGCAATGTAATTTGTTTGGCGTAGGGAGCTCTCATTTCTTTCATGCATCTTGTCACAGAATTAATGTGAAATATAGCCTGCCATTCACTAGAAGAATTAGCTAAAGTTTCCTAGTAACTGCCTATGACCTTATCATCTACTTAGTCATCTTTAGATGTATTCTTGGTGGGGTCATTTATGTCTTCAAGTACAAATTCCTTTTGCTACCTTTGGAAGCAGTAAGAAAGGGGTTAGATGAGGGAGCGGAACTTGTGGCCCTCCAGATGTTGCCTGACTACAGCTCTTATCATCCCTTACCATTCACCCTCCTGACTGAGGCTCAGTCTAACACTATCTGGAGGGCCACAGATTCCCCACTGCAGTGTCTAGGTGATAGATAGGCAACTGCTGGTTTGCATTCTGCTGCTTTTACTCTCCTCCCTCATAGACTGTACTAGTCGGGCAATAATTCACAAGAGACGTGGTTTATTATGGAGTAATACTTACATGTCACTTTGAAGGCACAAAGTTCATCGGCCAGGGGCCCGTGAAGTTGTTACAGTAAGTGCCACCAGTGCTTTCATTTTCCTAAAAAAATGTTTAGGGGTACTCTGATTTTCCTACTCATATTGAAATACTGCCCCTCAACGAGGCCAAACCTAGATTCACAAAATGTTTAGGGGTATGTGTACCCCTGCGTTGCCCCAGAAAAAAGCACTGAGTGCCACACTTGTGAACAACAACAAAAGACAGGTGCCAGTACTGTGTACCCTTGAGTACCCCCTGAAAACAAAAAAGCACTGGGCCCAGTGATGGCTGGACTGTTTTACCTTGGCTCTCCAATAACAAAGTTGTTTCTCATGTAACTTTTGGGTAGAACCTGTACAAGCATGGAAATAACTGAGGAGCTACATTTCCTGGGAAAATTAGGATTGCACTATGCAGAGTCAGTAATGACGAGTCACTTTCGCGAAGGCTTCGAAGGCAAAAAGATTGTGTTTTTCTTTCTTGGTTCTGTGGCTCAAGATTAGGTAGATGGCTTTAATTTAATTTTTTCCTCCCATGCCGCCTTAAATGCACATTCAGGAAGCGCCAGATGATAGCCATATAATTTACTAAGGAAGTCGGGTCAAAGTTCATACCTTTCTTTTATAATACAAGCAGTGGCCGATAAATGCATGTCCAGTTTACGCGTGACCACGCATGTGTGCCTCTTGGTGACCTGGAAGTGGCTGGAAAAGGGGGAGGGGGCATAACATGGTGGGCTTATGCGTGCTCTGCTGCCATGCGTGATGGCGCAGAACACATCCCCTGCGCAAATCAGGAGTTCCCTGTACATTGAACGTGACTTAAGTATACAGGTGATTTACAGTCGCAAAATATACATGGTTAAGCTAAGGTGTATGTGTATGTGTATCCATATCTTGAAGATGAGCTAGATTTTTAAGGGTCATCTCTTATTTCAGAGCATAACTGAGGATATCGCCTACCTTTTAACATCATATCTGCCTAGAACAGATCAGCTAACCTTTATTCCATGCTCCAACTTTGATCTGCTCACCGCTGAACCTAAGCAGATCCTGGCTAGTTGGGGTGACTGCACTGCAGGATTGTGGATTAGCGCTGGTGGAAAAGATTGCATACATGCAAAGCTCTGAAATTCTTGAGAGGTATTTGATGGGAAGAAGCTTGGGGGGGTCATCACATATGTAGAATTCTTCTTTATTATCTGGTAGGTTTTTTGGTGGGATGGAAGTCTTCTTTTGTTTGTGGTAGAAGGCTGCTCTTCATTTTTGTTCAAATGAGAAAGGAAGGGTTGGAGAAAGACCTTGAATCAATGAGTGCATGTAGTCTCTCCTTCCTTGGCAATGCACACAGGCACTGACTTAAAATTTATTTTATGCGCCAAGAGCATGCGCATGAAGGAACACAGTGCCGTTCAGCTGCCTAGCTTCTCTGTAGTACTAATGCGAGTGCCAGAGCAAGAAAAGTGATCCACTTTTAATGAGGAAATTGCGCTCTGGAGGCTTGTCTGAATTAGGAAAACATATGAAATGTTGTATATTTTATCTGCACACTTTGACCTCTTCCTTGGGTGTTGCCGTTCCTCCCACCCCCCCCAATCTTCACCAGCTGCGTCAAGTTAGATGAAGGCCACATTGGGGGAAATGTCAAAATGTGCTTCAAAGCAGCTGACTGGGGCATTTTCCATGTGTGGAACAACTGAGCTCAGAAGCATGCATCCAGCCAGCCAGCCATAAAATATACTCAGAAGATTTATAGGCAGTTTTTTCAAGTCTTAAGACAATGAAGGCTGCAAGGGTGTTATCTCAGTATGCTTAAATGCCTCTGCTAGCTAAGTTTTTAAGTGGTGAGAAATGTAGTCTAGCAGCTAAAATAAGTGTTCGGGGGGGGTGGCCTGCCTTCCTGCGACATTTGTCACTGGTCACTCTCATGTAAGTGGGATGGGGTGGACCATAATCCAACTTCTATTGTCTCCCCAGATGCTTCTTTCTCCATCTCTCCCTTCTAGCCTTAAATGGCCTGTGAGACGTATCACGTAGATAGGACAAAAGCAGGAGACAGACAGGTAAGTGCAGAGCTCAGCTTTGGAGGTTTATTTGCTGTATCTGAACAGACTGGGCTGCTAGGGCAGCTTGCAAGATCACAGTGTTAACGAAATAACTGCACCAGGAAATGAGTTGGGATCCAAAGCACCCATCTTAGCAAGGGATGGTATGACACCCCCCCCCAGCTCACTTGCATAATTAAACAACTGGCTGCATTTTGAACTACATACTTAACATTTCTGCACAGTTTTGGTAACCTAGTGGTCACCATAGAATTTACAATAGTGCCTGGATCATCATATTCTAGGAGTGACCATAACTAAAGTACCACCCTAAGTAGGTATGAGGCACTTTTGGCCATGATGACCACCATCTGATGATCCCAGAAGTGTCTTGCCCTAGGGTAGGTGTGGGGAACCATTGGCCCTGTAGATGTTGCTGAATTACAGCCCCACCATGGGCACCATTGACCATGCTTGCTGAGGCTGATGGGAGTTGTAGTTCAGTGACACCTGGAGGGTCAGAGGTTCCCCTCTCCTGCTCTGGGGCCTAGGCACGTGGCTCATTGTGCTGGAAATATGCTTCATAAAGCATATATTCAGATCTTGGCATAACTTTCCTCAACCTGGAAACCCATACTCTTTAGTGTGCAATTAGGATAAACATTGGAAATTTCCATACAATATATTTTAACTGCGCTTTATACTGGATGTAATGGAGAGTCGTGGTCAAGCGTACATCCAACGGCCAGAACTTCCTTGTATTTGGTGTTCCTTAAAATAGGGCTGGTGCTGCTTTACATCCTGGAATAGCTCCAGCTTCTGAACAGATCCAAGTTCCCCGAATCCTATAATTAGAGTACAGATTCATCTGAGCAATTCTATCTGGTCACACAAGATAATATCCAGACTTATGAAATGATTGTGAATCTGGAGAGGAAGGCTGAGTTTCTCGCTGCTGCTTAATTTTGAAAATCACATTTCACAGCTGTAGATTTAGTGTTTTCTGTTAAGCAGAAAGTTGTACCCCAGATGTGAAGGGAAAGCAGTGGAAACTGAGGCTTATGAGCTCCTATTTCACCTGACTTCTGGCAACACCTGTGGTCTTTGGCCCAGCACCTGCCCCTTCGTCATGTCAACTAGAGTCAGCTGTCTAAACTAGGATATTGGCCAGGCAAAATCAAATGGGGAACATTAAGTAGGAGCAAGTGGATGGGTGGGAATCTTGTGATATAACAGCTCTAACCTTGAAATGGAACCCAAGAGAAGAACTGGTAAAAGGCTTGCTGGCTGCTGAATTTCTGTTCGTATACTGCAGGGCAGATTAGGTTTCATGAATCCAGCATGATCGCAGGCAAAGCCAGAGGAAACTGGGCCGGCCCTGTAGTCTGGCAAGGCTCATTGGGGCCCACTTAAAAGTAGCTTATGGAAGTCTTCTCCAGGAGGAAGTGGGGTTTTCCCTGCTTGGGGTTGAGGAACAGAGAGCTTATCTGCTTCATTTGATTCCTGTGAAGGAAACTCTTGTGCGGCAGAGCTCTTCTGTAAACAGCACCTGCCTGTTCAGGGAGAGAGGATACTACAGGTTAATACAGAAACACTGCATTGTGTAAACTGATCCTTCTTTGAATAAGCTGCTGCTTCTGCCCTGACAGTGATTCCTGTTACTGGGATGGTGAAGAATTTGCTGCCACAGTCATGGGTGTGAGTTCTTACTGGGAAGCTACGGAGGGCTTTCATTGCACATGTCTTTCCATGGAAATGTGTTCACGGGGCAATAGGGGCATGTGGCTTGGAACCCTTTTGCAATGCAAGAACCTGATATAAGTATGTGCTAGTATGCTGCGCCAATTAGCTCAAAGCAGTGATGGCCAAACTTGGCCCTCCAGCTGTTTTGGGACTACAGCTCCCATCATCCCTAGCTAACAGGACCAGTGGTCAGGGGTGATGGGAATTGTAGTCCCAAAACTGCTGGAGGGCCAGGTTTGGCCATCACCACTGGCTTAAAGTGTGGTGCCAGTCCCACAAATCCTTGCTTTAAAGGGCCTGATCTGGCCTAGTATATCTTTTACCAGTTGTGACTCTTACACACTAGCATAGTTTTACAGTTTGCCCATCTACCTGAAGATATCAGGTACTTTAAGGTAAGGGCATATGGCGTGAAAATGGCTACAAAACTTAGAGGCTAGCTCGTAAGATGGCAAAACTTACTACGTTATCATGGAGGGTGGATATAGATAGATGTTGTTACTGCAGTGTTTCTACTTAGAACATTTTTCCAGCTGCTGACAGAAATTGAAACTAACATAAGCGAAATACCAGGTCCAGTTTCATTTCTAATTTCTTCTCTACACCAGTTTCAATTTCTGTGTTGTTTCCATTTCTGACAACATGCTCAGCCCCAGAAGTTGCACTTTCTGTATGTCATAAGAGTTGCTAGCCAGCAAAGTTGACCTTAAGGTTTACTTGAATTGTTCAGAGCAGTTTGATGAAAACTTTGTGGATGCCACAGGGATAGAGCAATTCCAGATATAAAATCAGTCCCAACTGATTTTATAGTCTTTTAAAGCGCATGAATGGGCGCACATCTGCTAGAAGGTAATATCCTTTCTCCAACTTATAATATCTATCCAACATCAAATGCTCTCCTGCAGGAAAGTGGTTTGTGAAGCAGCAGCAGCAGCACCGTGCAAGACTGATCCTTCCACTGTTGAGTGGGGACAAGGATCCTGTGGGGCAGGGCATCTGGCAGGGAGGAGAGTCTTGTCTTGGGCCTGCCTTCTGCCAGAAAGATGCTAGTGCCTGTCTGGTAAGACTTGGCCTTTTTCACACATTGCTTGCTCCTCCTCCTTCCTGCCCAATGCCTGACTCCCTAGCAGCCTCCTGTTGCTCAAGGCCGATCCAATTTGACTTCCAGTGATAACGTGTCTGGGTACTATAGCCTGACGATATATCAGTAAATTGTCTGAAACCTGTATGGCATGGGTAGGCAAACTAAGGACCGAGGGCTGGATCTGGCCCAGTCGCCTTCTAAATCTGGCCCGCTGACGCTCTGGGAATCAACATGTTTTTACATGAGTAGAATGTGTCATTTTATTTAAAATGCATCTTTGGGTTATTTGTGGGGCCTGCCTGGTGTTTTTACATGAGGAAAGGTAAAGGGGCCCCAGACCATTAGGTCCAATTGTAGCCGACTCTGGGGTTGCGGAGCTCATCTCGCTTTATTGGCCGAGGGAGCTGGCATACAGCTTCTGGGTCTTGTGGCCAGCATGACTAAGCCATTCGTGGCGAACTAGAGCAGCACATGGAAACACCGTTTACCTTCCCGCCGGAGCGGTACCTATTTATCTACTTGCACTTTGACATGCTTTCGAACTGCTAGGTTGGCAGGAGCAGGGACTGAGCAACGGGAGCTCACCCCGTCACGGGGATTTGAACCGCCGACCTTCTGATCGGCAAGCCCTAGGCTCTGTGGTTTAACCCACAGCGCCACCCACGTCCCTTTACATGAGTAGAATGTGTGCTTTTATTTAAAATGCATCTCTGGATTATTTGTGGGGCATAGGAATTCATTCATCCCCCCCCCTTCAAAATATAGTCCGGCCCCCCACAAGGTCTGAGGGACAATGGGCCGGCCCCCTGCTGAAAAAGTTTGCTGACTCCTGCTGTATGGCATTCAGATCGCAATACCGGTTTCAGACATTTTGAGCTGGCAATACATTGTGGTGGCCAGGGAGCCATGATGTATTCCCAGTTCAAATTGCCTGTAGACAGCAGAGGTGGAAGGCAGGCAAGCAGATGGAGCCTGCCTGCGCCTTTGAGGAAGCCCCCTGACCCTCCAGCTCCAGCTCACCTGAGCCGGAGCGGCTCCACTCAGCTGAGGGGAGAAAGAAGCAGCCGAGATACATTCCAGACATTGTGATATTATCATCATATCGTGGCATTTAGCTGCTGCTATATCACGATGTTGAAAACCAGATATTGCCCAGCCCTGGTGTGTACCCAACCTGTCCAATGCCCTCCAAATATGCCCACTTCGGCTTAGGCCTCGACCCAAGCCAGTGCACACCCCTAATACACGTTTGTTAAAAGAGCATAGCACTTATTCTGTCTGGCAAAGTATGCTCAGGTCCAGAAAAGCTTCCAGTTTTTAAGGTACTCCAGCATGACTTTATGCTGCAATGCAGCTATCCTCTTGCCATTTGATTCTGCTGATTTCTACAAATAATCTTTATGCTAGAGCCAGACTTTCTGAAGCATGGACTGTTTGATTCCTGTGGAGAGGTACAAGTATAAACAAAGTGTGTGGGTCTTGCTTCATAGAGATTAGAAGAAATAAACATGATACTTAGGTTTTGCCATATAGATATGCTCCGTTTAGGAGAAGTACTATCTCAGACTGTACAATTGTGAACAATTTATTTCAAAGCCACACTCCCTTATGTGCTTATAGATGTGTCCTCTGTTGTTTCATTCATGTGCTTTTGTTTGTTTGGTGAAGTTTGTTTGCTAAGTCATTGGAGGGAAAGGCTCCTGTGTAAACTACAGATTGGACGAGATACGTAAGTTAATGGAGGTCTGTTTTCATACTGTATTCTCTAGGGTGTGGCGTGTGATTGTCAGCAGTGTTTTAGCGGGTGATGGTGGGTGCGTCAAGGTCTGCTGGCAATTGACTGATGCAATAATTGGGCGAGCTATTGGCGCTTACATTCATTGAGCGTGCAGACAATTGGTGGCTTCGTTGATTGTAGCGGTCTTGCGGTCTTGCAATTCCTCCCCCCCAAAAAGCCTAAGAAGTCTGGGTAACACCCCCCCCCCCCGAAAAAGCTCAGCAACTCTGGGCAATCTCCCCTCATTTTCTCATTTTTGAGTCTCCAAAAAGAGGGAGCGTCTTACAAAAAGAGGGGGCATGTTACACATGGAAAATATGGTACATATACATGTGTGCCACTTGAGGAACCAGGCACCAGCCTCACTATGGAGCAGAAGACATCTGAATGCTTTGGGACCTGTAGGGGAAACAGTTGG